TTTATTAATAGGTTTATTTAGATTTAGTAATAAAGTAAGAGTAAGTTATTACTTTTTCTTATATATAGTATAAGGATCTTTATTCTTATTATTAGCTATTTTAGCTATGTATTCTATAATAGGTATAACAGATTTTAATACGTTATTTAAAATAAATTTTAATTATACTACTTAAATTATATTATTTAGTGCTATATTTTTAGCATTTGCTATAAAAACACCTGTAATATTTTTAAATAATTAACTATTAAAAGCTTACGTTAAATTACCTTTAGGTAGAAGTATTATACTAGCTAGAATTGTTTTAAAATTAAGTTTATATAGTATATTTAGATTAATTTTACCTATATTACCTAAAGCTACATTAGACCTTACTTTTATAGTATACACTATAGGTGTTATTACTATAATCTATATAAGTTTTAGTATATTAAGAACTATAGACGTTAAAGAATTAATTGCGTATAGTTCTGTGTCTTACGCTGCTGTATATTTAATAGGTGCCTTTAGTAATATAATTTAAGGTATAAAAGGAAGTATTGCTTTAGGATTAGCTTATAGATTTATATCTAGTGGTTTATTTATATATGCAGGAGGTATATTATATAACAGATTGGGTACTAGAATGATATATTTATACAGAGGTATAGCTTAACTTATGCCTTTATTCTCTATACTATTCTTTATATTATCTTTAGGTAATTATGAAGCTTTTTTAACATTAAACTTTATAGGAGAATTTATGTCTCTTTATGGAGTAGTAGAAAAACTACTATTATTAGGTGTATTAGCTTCTATATCTATAGTATTCTCTGCTGTATATACTATATATATGTTTAATAGAATTACATTTAGAGGTTCTTTTACTAAATTCTTTAAAGAAAATATATTTAATACTATAAAAAGAGAATTTATATTATTATTTATACTAGTTTTATTTACTGTTATACTTAGAATATACCCTTTATTAATATTAGACAGTTTACATTATTCTGTTACTAATTTAATTTATAGTTTTTAAGATTATATGTAAATATATTATATATAATTTACCTTTGTTAAACTTTATATAACTATTGTTAATAAAAGCCAAAATAACTTAATTATGTAGAGATATAATTAGAGGTTTAATTCCTTTATAATTAATATAGAATTACATACTTTTATTATATAACTAATTACTTTTTTATATTTAATAGAAATAATAGTGATAAATCTATAAATAATCCTAATAGCTTTTATAGCTTACTAAAAACTAATATTATCTTGTTTAATATTAGGGTTTACATTCTTTTTTTTTAAATAGGCATACAACCTTTGTTACAGCATAGCTGTCCTGTGACCTTATTTTTATATCTTCTAGTTTTATATTAAACATTAATACTGCAGGCAGGCAGTTAAATTCTGCCACCTATTTTATAAGTATTTAAAAAATAATTATTAAAAAATGCCTTAATTAGTACCTTTTTATTTTGTTAACAAAGTAACTTTTGCTTTTACTATAATTATGTTACTTACTTATGTATTTTCTAAATACGTATTACTAAGAATAGTTAGTTTATTTATATCTTATCTTTTTATTTCTACATTATTAGATAAATTTAGATTATAATAAATTTTAGATATTTAGATATTTTAAGGCCTATATAAAAAGCTTAGAGTATAATATAAATACTTTAAGTTTAAACAATTTACATAAAGAAATCTCTAGTCCTTTAACTTAATTTAAAATAAGAGATTTATTAAGTATAGATTTACCTATACTAAGTGATTTACATATATCTATAACTAACATTAGGTTATACTTAACAATTAGATTAGTTTTTACATTAATTTTAAGTATATTAAGTATAAACAATAACAAATTAGTTAGTAATAACTAATTAATAAGTTAAGAATTATTATATGTAACTATACACAGTATAGTAGTAAATTAAATAAATGCAAGAAGTAGTTAAGTTTACTTCCCTTTTATTTACACTTTATTTATATTTATATTAATAAATAATTTAATAGGTATAGTACCTTACAGTTTTGCATTAACTAGCTATTTTGTTTTAACATTCGCTCTTAGTTTCACTATAGTTTTAGGTGTAACTATATTAGGATTCTAAAAACATGGTTTAAAATTCTTTTTATTATTAGTACTAGCTGGTTATTCTTTAGCTTTATTACCTTTATTAGTATTAATAGAATTTATTTTATACTTAGCTAGAAATATTTCTTTAGGACTTAGATTAGTAGCTAATATATTATTAGGTTATATGTTATTATATATATTAGTAGGATTTACTTATAATATTATGACTTCTAGATTTATATTCTTCTTCTTAGGATTAGTACCTTTAGCATTTATAATTACTTTCTCTAGTTTAGAATTAGGTATTACATTTATACAAGCTTAAGTGTTTGTAGTTTTAACTAGCGGTTATATAAAAGACGGATTAGACTTATATTAAGGGATAAGTTAATAATTAGTATAATTTAGTTTGCTACTATCTTTTGTTAATAAATTACATGAGCCTCTAGCTACAGAAGGTTTATAACCTTTTACCCCTTAGGGCTAATAGAAGGTCAAATTAATATTTAAAAAAAAATAAAAAGGGTATTATCTTAATAGTAAAGAAGAGTATTACGGCTGCTAAGATATAGGTTTAAATCCTATATACCCTTCTTAATCTAGAATTAAAATTTTAGTATTATGCATATATTTAGTAATAAAGAATAAAAGTCCTCCTGGTTATTAGTTAGTATATAGATAATTAATAATTATTAATATAAAAAATAATGGTTATTTGTAGAGAAAATATTTAAAATTTAACATTATATTTAGTTTTCTTATTACTAATTCTATTTAGAGGTAAATAAGTGGTTTTAATTTATTAAATAAATAAATTTAAATTGGTGGAATTTATAAAGAATAAATAAAAATTATAGCACTAATAAGTTAATTTTAATAAAAATGGTCTTTATAATCTTAGTTTAAACAAATGATTAAGCCGATTTTAATAATTTTTTTGGTCTAATATTAGATGTTGATGTACTTAGCATTGTATTTAATATGATGTAGGTTTAAACTTAATTTTGCTAATTATAATATTTTAAAACCCTTAAGTGTATCCTAAGATAGTCCTGCTATATAAGTGAAATATTTTAAATTTCTTAGATTAGGTTGTAGATAGTAAGTACTAAATATATTCCTAATTATATATTTAAATAAGGTAATTTGTACTTTACATTTATTATAAAAGAAGCGTGATCTTATCCTAAAATAAAAAAAAAGTTTAGATTTATTAGTGATATATTTGACATTAACATAATTATATAGATGAGTTTGGTAATGGCTCTGAATAAATGCTGTCTAAATGCTTAACACATGCTAATCGTACAATTAATTTAATGAGTAATTTAATTAATAAGTGGTGTACAGGTGAGTATATAATATTTTTACTACCTTAAAGTGAGGGATAAAATCCTATATAGTAATAAAGGCTATTATCTTATTCTATAGGAAAGCCGCTTTAGGATGAAGATTAATATCGTTAAGAGAGGTAGTAGTAAAGGTGATGTCTTTACTAGCCTTAAAATCTTGTAACCGTAACTGAAAGGTTGATTGGTCACATTAGGTCTGAAAAAAGCCTAATGCAAAATTAGTATAGCAGTAGGGAATTTTGGTTAATGGCCTAACGGCTAAACTAGCAATTTAGGTAAACGAAATAGAATTGTATCTACAAAAATAAAGTTTTAAGTACGTATTAATAATGATAATATGTATACTAGTCTTAACTAATTACGTGCTAGCAGTTGTGGTAATACGTAAGAGACAAGCATTATTTATATTAAATAGGTTTAAAGGGTACCTAGACGGTTAAAATACCTTAATTAAAAGGAGTACTTGACTAGAGTTATATGTGAGAAGACCGTACTTAAGGAGGAGAGATTATATTCTGTGATACTAAAAGGACTGATAAAGGCGAAGGCTGTCTTTTATGTAATAACTGACGTTAGAGGATGAAGGCATAGAGAACGAACAGGATTTGACACCCTAGTAGTCTTTACAGATAATGATGAATGCCATAGACTAGATAAAGCATTATGCAATAAATTTAGTCTATAAATAAAAATGAAAGCATTTTACCTTAAGAGTAATGTGGTAACGCAGGAACTGAAATCACTAGACTGTTTCTGACACCAGTAGTGAAGTATGTTATTTAATTTAATAATCTACAAAAAACCTTACTATAACTTAAATATCTAGTAAATAGATACAGGAGTTGCACGACTGTTTTTAGTTAATGTTGTAAAACTGTGGTTTTTCTATGAAATTAACGGAATTCTTTACTTTATTTATAGAATGTTTTATAAAGCAATCTTTCTTTATAGCGGAAAAGATAAGAAGGAAAAAGATAAGTCATTATGGCCCTTATGTTGTAGGCTATAGACGTGCCACGTAGTCTTTAACAAAGAGATGCAAAAATGCAAATTTTAGCTAATCTTAAAAAAGAGGATATAAATTATATAAGGATTGTAGTCTGAAACTTAACTATATAAATAAGTAATTACTAGTAATTATGAATCACTATGTTACAGTAAATTTAATCTCGGATTGGTACTAACCACTTGTTGCATGCTGAAAGAAGTTTACGTAATAAGTTTGCTATTCTGTTATAATCTCTTTTATAAATTAGATTAAAATATTATAATGGAATTCTTTATATGCATTACTCTAATTAGTGTTAAGTCGAAATATGGTTTGTGTAGTAAAAGTTGCATAGGGTTTATAAACTTAAAAAATATAATTGTATATATCTGCTTAAAAGAGTTCTAGTTATATGCAAAATAATGTATTATATATATCTATTTAAAGGGGCGGCGCAAGCTCCCTCTGGTTATATGTAATATATTGTAAGAAGAGTTCCTTTATTAGCAAGAAGGGTTAAGCTGTAAACTTAATAGCAATTTTCTGCTTTAAGAGTTTAAATCTCTTGTCTCCTAAGTTCGCCTTTATAGCTTAACGGTAGAGCATAATACTGTTAATATTATGATAGAGGTTTGATTTCTCTTAAGGGCTTAATAATAAAAATTTGTATAGTAATTCTACATGCCTAGCTGTTTAGTAATTTAAAAAAAATAGTATAACAAATTTAATAAGAAGTAATTTTTAAGATTATCCTTTTTATTTAGTTTCTCTATCTCCTTAACTACTTTATACTAGTCTAAGTTTATTATCTTTAACTTTAAATTTAGCACTAGCAATGCATAATTTTGCTAACGCTTATGTATTTACTTACATAGGTCTATTTTTAGTTGTAAGTTCTATAACTTTATGATTTAGAGATATAATAGCAGAAGGTACATTCTTAGGAAATCACACTTTAGCTATATAAAAAGGACTTAATTTAGGTGTAATACTTTTTATAGTATCTAAATTAATGTTCTTTGTTGCTATATTCTAAGCATTCTTCTATAGCGCTTTAATACCTACAGTTAAATTAGGAGCATAATGACTACCTATAGGTATAGATCCTATAAATCCTTTTGAATTACTATTACTTAATATAATTATATTATTATCTAGTGAAGCTATAGTTACTTATAGTTACTACGCTTTAATTTAAGGAGATAGAGCTAGAGCTATATATAGTGCAATTACTACAGTAGTATTAGCTATAGTGTTTACAGCTTTCTAAGGTGTAGAATATTTAGTATTATCTTTTATAATTAGTAACGGTACATTTAGTTTATGTTTCTACTTTAGTATAGGATTTTACAGATTCTACGTTATAATTAGTATAATATTTATAGGAGTAGGGTTATAAAGAATATACGCTTACTACTTAACTAATAACCATTACTTAGGATTTAAAGGAGGTATTCTTTACTAATATTTTGTTAACGTTGTTTGATTATTCTTATATATATCTATATATTACTAAGGTTTATAATAAATTATATAAAACAGTATAAGCGGCAGCTTTACACATACGTAGCCTAAATATATTATTAGTATTTAAAAAAAGGGATTTTAGTATAATGGTAAATACATATGACTTTTAATTATTATGATATTAGTTTAAATCTAATAGATCCTACTTGTTTACTAATATATATATATATTTATCCTAATTCTAGTAAATTATTAATAAGCTATTTTATACTAATAAATATACTGGAAATATTAGTAATATATATATATAATAGCAGTATATTTAATATAAGTAAAATAAAACGGTTATTATTTAATAGTAGGATTGCTGTCTTCTAAACAGAGTGTGTTAGTTTAATTCTAACTAACCGTAAATATCTAATCTAATAGCTTAATTAGTAAAGACTTTTTCTGTTACAAAAAGGGATGTCGGTTTAAGGCCGACTTAGTTTAATTATTAAAGTATAATATTAATAAGATTTGTAGGAAAGGTCGCCATAGGTAGGGTAAGATATTTGCTAAATATTATGTGAAAACATTTAGGCGTTTGAGTCGTCTTCTTTCTGTAACAGACTTAAACTTAGTTTTTAAGATTTATTTTTGTTATAACACTTTCCTTAATAAAGGGTAAAATTATTCTGTATAATATAACTAACTTATTTATTATAGATAAAATATATACTAGTAGGTTTAAAACAGGAGCTTTAGATATTGTTTCTATATTTGCAATATTATGTGCTATTTTAACAATTATAATTAAAAATCCTATAGTATCTGTTCTATTTTTAATAGGATTATTTAGAAGTATATCTTCTTACTTAATATTATTAAGGTTAAATTTTATAGGTTTATCTTACTTAATTATTTATATTAAGGCGGTATCTATATTATTTCTGTTTATTTTAATGTTAATTAATATTAGAGTTAGTAAGTTACAAAGTAACACTAAAAATAGTATACCTTTAGCTTTATTTATAACAATCTTCTTTAATTATTTAGTTTTCTAATTCTTACTATATAATTTAGTAATTTTAAATAATTATTAGAAGTAAGAGTTATTCTAACTCTTAATACTTCTACTTTACGTTATATTTCCTTTATTATAAGGAGTATTACGTAATATATATATATATATATTATCTACTAGTTTAGTAAATTAATATATATATTAATTACGTAATTAGTATGATTACGTAATTAACTAAAGATTCTAGAAGATAGTTAGAGGAGCAAGATTAGCTTTATTTCTCCTCTCTTCTTCTATCTAGGTTAACTTGTTAAGTTAGGGTTATTATCTTACGTAACTGTAACAGGCTAGGCCTATATAAGGCCTTGCTAAACATTGCGGCCAGGATTACATCTGTAATACCTATAAGCTAACCTTAATTAGGCCTACTACGGAATCCATAATGCCAACAGTCTGATGGCTAGTGCGGCATGGCCCTAATTAGGCTAGCAGTAGGGTGGAGATTTATAGTTTTCCTTTTTATTCTTTATCTAAGGATACTTATAGTAGTCGCTATAGCCTGTTGTAAATATATACGCCTTAGACTATTATAGTAACTAAGGGTTACGCATAATATTCTGATTTATAAGCAGCTTACGTAAGTATAGAATATTCTAGTAAGCTGGATACGGTTATATAAGGGACTGTTTAGTCTAGTTCTATCTTCTGTTTCTTCTCTCTCTAAGTAAGTAACTCCTATAGTTATAATCTAACTATTATACTCTCTTTACTTCTTATATATCCTTATATCTATATTATTACTTTACCTCTATATATCTTATATTCTTGCTTCTATAAGATATATCTTTATATAAGGTTATATTCCTTATATATATTATTATCTCTTTATATCTTTAAGAGAGATAATAAACCTATTATGCTAATAGGTTATAAGCCTAGGTTGTTAACCTGTAGTTTAACTACTTTATTAGTAGCCTATTTTATCTATCTTTATAGTAGCTTTATTATACTATCTTTACTTATAGAAATATTAAGGCAGAAAGAGTAAGCCCTTATTATTTTCTATACTTAAAGGTAGTAATAATATCTACTTAGATAAAGGCAGTATAAGTCCTTAAATATAAGGCTACATAAGATCCTTTATCTAAGAGGCAGTATAAGTCTTAAAAGCATCTATAAGTCCTCTACCTATAAGAGGTAACTTAAGTCCTAAAAAGGCAGTTATAAATCCTCTTTTTATCTGCTTTATATTATCTTTACTAGTTAAAAGATATTTAGTAAAATGGCAGATCTTATTAAGGCTACTATAGGCTGTTTAATGCCTAACGAACAGAAACTCCAGGGTTCTAAAAACTAGAATTCCTAGATTACTTCTATTTATCTCTTCTTTAAGCTTTTAAAGCTAGATATCTATTTTGAAAAAGAAGAGAAATATAAGGATATATCTAAAGACTAAAAAACTTAAGCCTTATTAATTATAAGGCAGAATCTTCTAAAAGAACCCTTATCTTTAGTCTTTGACTTAAAAGATCCAAAACAGACTTTAACTATTTTAAAGTCTTCCTATGAGGGTACTGGCCCTGTTCTAAGGCAACAGTTATACTTAGAATTTCACGCTATTAAACTAGAGTCTTATAACACTTTAAACGAGTTTATTAGCTCTTTTAAAGGTTATATCTCTAAGTTAAATAACGTAGGGGCTAAAATAGAAGATATAGACTAAAAAACGGTCTTTATAGCTGCCTTAAGTAGTTATTTTCTAGTATGGGCTAAAAGGCAAAGAAGTGCCTTAAGAACTAAAGAACCTCCTTCTTTAGAAGCCCTTATAAACGATATATTAGACGAAAATAGGCAGGAAACTGATACCCCTATGTCTAATTATAGTAGAAATAACCCTCAAAATAAGGGTAACTCTACTAAAGAGGTTAAAAGTCCTTTTAATAAGGATAAACCCTATAAATGGTCTAATAAAGGACCTAAAAGACCTAAAGATAAGGTCTATAACCCAGAATTAAACCTACAGCACTTACAAAAGCCTAAGGCAACTTTTGTAATAAACCACTAAGCTAACAAGCCTCTAAAGGCTAAAAAATTAACAGACCTTTATAGTTATAAGGCTTATTCTTAACCCTTTAATAATTAAAGGGATAAATAGCTTTATGACACGGGTTCTACAGTCTATATTGCTAATAATAAGGACTATTTTATATAATTAACTATAGATAAAGATATACCTATAGTTAATACAGGAGCTGGTCCTGTTATACCTAAGGGAATAGGAACTATATTACTTCCTATCTATTTTAGAGAGGAAATTAACTATATAAGGCTAAATAATACCTTATATATACCTAACTTTCCTATCTCTATATTTTCAGGCCTTTTACACTATAAAGGCGGAGGATTCCTAATTAACTAGAATCTATGTAATAGCAATAAGGAACCCTTTGCTAATATTAATATAGCAAAAAGGGGGTTTTACCTTAATATTGCTATAAATACAAAGCCTATAAGAAAACCTCTTAAGTTAAAAGAGGATATAAAGGCTTTATCTTTAGAAGAATCTAAAGATAATTTATCTTCTACTTCTATTATAGAAGAAATTATAAAAGATAATATAGAAGATAGTATATCTTCTAATATAGTAGATAATACCTCTAAAGAGGGAGAGGTTTTTACTACTATAACAAAAGAATAGCATTAAAAATTAGGCCATCCTTCTTACCCTTACTTAGTTAAAACTGCTAAGTTAACTAAGGGTATTCCTTTAGAAAAACTAAAGGAAGAGGACCTATATTGTCCTAACTATATAAGCTCTAAGTTAACTAGGCAACAGCCTAAAGTTAACTATGATAGAGCTAATTTTCCGTTAGAGAGAATCTGTATAGATACTCTTAAAATAACCCCTACTTCTATTAACGGAAATAACTACGCTATACCTTTTACAGACGATTATTCTAGCTTTAGAGATATTGAATTCTCTAAGAATAAAGAGGATATAATTAATATCCTTATTAATAAGCTAGAATACTATAAAAATCAGGGTTTTTGTTACCCTAGAAAACTACGCCTAGATAACGGCACTGAATTTAATATAGGGGAATTAACCTCCTATATTAAAGAAAAAGGCATTATACTAGAGCCTTCTACGCCTTATACACTAGAATAAAACGGTATAGCAGAAAGAATAAATAGGGCTATTCTAGATAAATCTAGGACTATTATAGCAGTAAATAACTTACCTAAGTTCTTATAGGATATTATCCTAAAAGAAACCACTAAGTTATTAAATTATACTGCTATAAAACGCCTAGAAAAGACCCCTATAGAGGCTTTTCTAGACTATTATTATCCTAATAAGGATAATAAACCAGACTTATCTAATATACGTAAAATAGGCTCTAAAGTCTTTATCTATAAGCCTAAAGAAAAGCGTATACAATCAGATAAGTTAAATACCTATACTAAAAAAGGTATTTACTTAGGAAAAGAGGGTAGTAATATATATATCATATATATACCCTCTAGGCCCTATAAGTCCTCTATAATAAGGACTTCCTATATTAAGTTTATAGAAAGTACTATAAGAGAGGGAGAATTACCTAGTCCTTCTAGTACTTCTATAAATCCCTCTTTAAAACCTTTACCTTCTAAAACTACTATAGAGGTTAATATACCTTCTATAAGTAAAGAAGAAAAGGAAAAATATAAGGCCTATAATAATACTATAGATTATAACTATAGTATTCTACCTAAAGAGCCTACTACCTTAAAACAGGCTCTAGAAAGCCCTAAAAAAGAACAGTGGAAAGAAGCTATATTTAAAGAAATATCCACTATTATAAAAAGGGGTACTTTTCAAGCCAAACCAGTAACAGTATTAAAGTCTACCTCTAGGGTACCTTTAACTGTTAAATGGGTCTTTAAGAGAAAAATTAATATTAATGGTAATATTGATAAATATAAGGCTAGACTGGTTGTTAGAGGCTTTAAACAAAAATACGGCCTTAATTATTTCCAGACCTTTGCAGCTAGAAGTAACCTTACTACCTATAGGGTACTTCTTTCTATAGCAGCTGCCTTAGACTGGGAAATCTAACAAATAGATATTGTTAGAGCCTTTTTATATAGTAATTTAGAAGAAGAAGTCTTTATAGACCCTTCTAATATCCCTTTAACTAAATTCTTTATTAAAAATCCCAATTTAAATACTATAGGTTAAGATAATAAAGAAAATTAGATAATATTATTATTAAAAGCCTTATATAGACTAAAACAGAGTCCTAGGCAGTAGCAGTTAAAGATAAAATCTATATTAAAAGAAATAGGTTTTATATCTTTAAAGTTAGACAAAGCTACTTACTATAACCAGGATAAAAATAATCCTTGTTATATTATTACCTACGTTAATAATTTTCTTATACTTAATAAAGACATTAAGTATATAGAAAATATAAAGGGTAAAATCTCTAAATATATAGAGATACAAGACTTAGGCAAAGTTTCTAAGTTTCTAGGGCTTTATATAACTAGAAATAGACCTAATAGGTCTATAACTATATCACAAGCCCATTATATCCAGCAACTATTAGAGAGGTTTAATCTTAAAGATACCTCTATTAATAATATACCTATATTAACAGGTATATTAAACGCTAAGAAAGGGAACGAAATAGAAGGATATAAGCCTTCTAAAGAGCTTATAAAGCAATATCAACGCCTTATAGGTTCCCTTATATACGCTATGTTTATGACTAGGCTGGATATTGCCTATAGTGTATCTTATACCTCCCGTTACCTACATAACCCCTCAGAATTCCTACTTAAACAAGGTATAGGTATATTAAAATACTTAAAAGGGATAATTAACTATAATATTACCTATAAGGGTAATAATAATAGTCCTTATATACCTATATTAGTAGGATATACTGATTCTGACTAGGCTAGTTATAAAGAAACTAGAAAATCTACTTCTGGTTATCTTTTTACCTTAAACAGAGGTCCTATTAGCTAGAAATCAAAAAAACAGTTAACTATATCTTTATCAACCACAGAAGCCAAATTTAATAGTCTACAAGAAGCCATTAGAGAATCCATATGGTTAAAAGGCTTATTATCTAAAATAGGGTTTAATATAACCCCTATAACTATTAAAACAGATAATAACGGAGCCTTAAGCTTAGCCTATAACCCAGAATTTCATTAAAGGACTAAGCATACAGCTATATATTATTACTATACCCGGCAAGAGGTTGAAAATGGCAATATAGAAGTAGAATATATCCCTACTTCTTCTATGCCTGCAGACGGCTTAACAAAACCCTTAAATAGGGTTAAATTTTAACAATTTGTTAAGCTTATAGGCCTATGTAATGAAAATAAGCCTATATAATATACCTATATTTAAGGTATATTTTTCCTAATATTATTAGGAATTATTTCTAATAAGTTATCTAAAAAGATAGCTTATTCTATTTTATCTCTAGAGTACTTATTTCTACTCTAGGGTAATTCTTTTCCTCTAAACTACTTATAATAAAGGAAAAGAGGGAGTGTTAGAAGTAAGAGTTATTCTAACTCTTAATACTTCTACTTTACGTTATATTTCCTTTATTATAAGGAGTATTACGTAATATATATATATATATATTATCTACTAGTTTAGTAGATTAATATATATATTAATTACGTAATCAGTATGATTACGTAATTAACTAAAGATTCTAGAAGATAGTTAGAGAAGTAAGATTAGCTTTATTTCTTCTCTCTTCTTCTATCTAGGTTAACTTGTTAAGTTAGGGTTATTATCTTACGCAACTGTAACAGGCTAGGCCTATATAAGGCCTTGCTGAACATTGCGGCCAGGATTATATCTGCAATACCTATAAGCTAACCCTAATTAGGCCTACTACGGAATCTACAATGCTAATAGTCTGATGGCTAGTGCGGCATGGCCCTAATCAGGCTAGCAGCAGGGTAGAGATTTATAGTTTTCCTTTTTATTTCTTATCTAAGGATACTTATAGTAGTTGCTATAGCCTGTTGTAAATATACACGCCTTAGACCATTATAGTAACTAAGGGTTACGTATGATATTCTGATTTATAAGCAGCTTACGTAAGTATAGAATATTTTAGTAAGCTAGATATAGTTATATAAGGGACTGTTTAGTCTAGTTCTATCTTCTGTTTCTTCTCTCTCTAAGTAAGTAACTTCTATAGTTATAATCTAACTATTATACTCTCTTTACTTCTTATATATCCTTATATCTATATTATTACTCTACCTCTATATATCTTATATTCTTGCTTTTATAAGATATATCTTTATATAAGGTTATATTCCTTATATATATTATTATCTCTTTATATCTTTAAAAGAGATAATAAACCTATTGTGCTAATAATAATTTAAATAATTATTTAAATAATGTATTATATTATACTTTATTAAATAGTGCTTTACCTAAAAAAATATTTAATAGTAATAAAATATTAAGTTTAGCTAACGGTTTAGAGGGAAGCTCTAATTTATTCTTTGCTATAAGTAGTAGTTAAGATGGTAATTTAATTGAAATAAGTCATATATCTAGTATAGGAAATATATTATATATAAGTCATAGTATGTAATTAATATTAGTAAGTTTTATTCTATTATTAGCTATAATAGGAGCAATAGTAATTATAATAAAACAAAAAAACTAAAGAGATTAGCTTAATAGTAGAGCAACCGTTTTACACACAGTAGGTTAAGTGTTTAAGTCACTTATTTCTTAAAAAGAGTATAGTTTAATAGTAAAACAAGAAGCTTTAACCTTTGAATTCTTAGTTTAAGTCTAAGTACTCTTGTATATATGTGAATTTTGCACAAAATTCTTTAACTTAACGGTAAAGTGCATTTTTGATAAGAATGAAATTTAAGTTCGATTCTTGGAAGAATTAAAAGGTAAACAAGTTAGTGTAGTAAAGCTACTAACTATATTAAAAAAGAGAATTAACTGAGTGGTTTAAAGTGCCGGCCTTAAGTACTGGTATAGGACTCTCCTATTATGGGTTTGAATCCCATATTCTCTGTTTTATGATCTAGATTAACATAAAGGTAAGTTTTGTAACTATAAAACTGCTATAATGTAACTGTGTATGCACAAATTTACCTTTTATAGATTAGGGCCGGGTTGGTTAGGCGCTCCTTTTGGGAAGGAGAATAGTTGCGTTTGAACCGTAATAATCTGATATAGAATTAATAGAAATGTAATTAATATAGAACATATATTTATATGAAAATATATAAGTATATAAAGAAACTATTATGGAAATCTGGCTATGTATTAAAGGGTATGATTTATTTACTTAAATTAAGAATTTAGTCTAAAATCTAAATAATGATTTATATTAATTTAGTATAAATTATTATTAGAATCTAAAAACTTATTTTAAATATAAACCCTAAGAGAAGTTTTTTAATAAACGAAGTGAATTAAAACATCTTAGTAACTTTAGGAAAAGAAATTAAAAGAGATTCTACGATTAGCGTGAGCGAAAGTAGAGAAGCCTATATATTAATAAGTAAAATGGTTTAGAAACTGTTTGAATTTAATGGGGAACCTTTCTTAAAGGCTAAATATAATACATAAGCGATAGTGAATAGTATCATGAGAGAACGATTAGAATTAGTAGTTTTATAAGCAGTTTGAGCAAAATAAATAAGTGAGAACGTACCTTTTGCATAATGGGTCACCAAGTTAACATTAGATGCGAGTGAAAGCGTAGATAAACCAATCGTTAAAATAACGAATAGTGTCTAAAGTTAGACCCAAAGCCTGGTGATTTTACCACAATCAGGATTATAAAAGTCCGAACGGGTTATCGTTGTAAAGATATCCGAAGAATTGTGGTAGGTAGTAAAAGACAACACTGACTAGGATAGCTGGTTTTCTGCGAAACCTATAACAGTAGGCAATTTGAGTACATCTTAGTAGGTACAGAATTTAATCTCAGACAAGATGTTTTCATTTTAGTTCTTGAACTAAAACAACATGTTGATTTGTATATATCGGGGGATTGTGAAGATTTTATCGGTGAGTATGTAGACTCGGAATGGTAAAGATGGATCTTGAATTATTAGACATAGAATGATAAGGTTGTATGTCAAAAGGGAAACAGCCTAGAACAAGAGTTAAGGTTCCAAACTAATCCCTTAGGATTAAAATACAAGTACCTATAAGGTATATGAGACTCGAACTTATATTTTAGTAAGTTGTCATGCTTTTCTTTACGTTAAGATAATACCTTAGGTCTAGTTAGTTTATTACTAACTAGACAACTCTTTTAGAGATTGTACATAAAACGAGTAAAATATTGAAGGAATCTCTAATAATTATTCTTGTTCGATTTAAATCCACAAACTATTATCATCTCTATTATATCCTGTAGACTATAATAGTATTATTTTCTAGATTATAGAATAGAGCTGTAATGACTAGAACTTACATTACTGTGATAAAAGTCATGATAAGAAATTTTCTAAGCTAACTGATTCTATTACAATTGGCATAGAAGAATGTAGTATTCCACATATTTCAGAACATTGTCCGTAGAACACTCCAGGTCTGTTAATGAATGCAGAAACTTGATTTAATCTACCAGGGTAAGCATCACATTTTATACCTAAAGCTGGAGCAGCATAAGAATGTATAACGTCTCCAGAAGTTATAACAAATCTAATATGTGTTTCTTCAGGAACAATTACTCTGTTATCAACTTCTAACATTCTTCATATTAATTGCCGGCTGTGGAGAGGTGGAAAGGAGTGGAGAGAGGTAAAGGGGGAAAAGGGGGGAAGTCAGGAGATTCATCGTTCTGAGCTGCTGATGAGCCATAGGGCCCAAGTTTCCTATCGGCAATGCGACGTCAATGTCCAACTTTCTTCCCAAGACGATCAAAGAAATCCCACGCTGAAAGAGGGTGCGTGTAGAAGAGGGGTTCGTTGGTGTCAATCTAGTAAACCGTCGACTTGCGGGAATGTTGCCATACTGTGGATTGTTAGCTCTATATATGGCCCTCAGGTGACCGTATGATAGTGACTCACATCGAACACATTGTTTCAATCCGAGAATGCGGTCTTGCTCGTGGCTACCCGGAGCTGCGCTCTCAAGCAGCCCGAGGTGATGATGCCGCTCAAAGCAAAAACCTTGCATCGTGGGGCGCAAAGCTCAGTGGCCAAAGACATCGTCACTGTTGTGACCGGAACTGCAACGCAGCTTTTCACCCACCACGGGAGACTGGGAGCGGCGGTACCCAGGAGAGTGCGATTTTCCGGGATAGTCGTAGGAGCACTCGGACTCGTCGCCCGCGTGCAAGGTGCGGACACTGTCGATCTTGTTCGCCCAGTGCTGCCAAACGACTTGATCGTACCACTCTGCGCCGTGCGGGGAGTCTACCTTGTAAACTTGATTGAGGCGGCCGCACTTTTCGAACTGGAATGAAGACATGAAGTTGCCCATCCATTCGAGGCTCTGGCTGCCCTCACTCTTGACCATCGTATGAAAGATGATGCCTGTCATTGGGTGTCAGTTCCATAGTTCAGGATGTTGTTGCCCAAAGGTACTGTGCGACTTACGGTGGACATTGTGGAAGTTCGACGCGCGGAAGGAATCTCCTCCGGTTGTAGGGTCATGCCACTTGTACTCAACTACGTTGCCATAGTACAAGATCGAAGTCTGCGTAAGGAGCTGGTGGAGAAGCGCACTGCCGATACCGCCACGTCGGTGGTCCGGGTGGACGAAGACGGTTGCCTTGACTACGGGGGACGCAGTGCCGGTGAGTCCACCGATTCCTCGCTCGTACGGCTTGAGAAAACCGAAGCCGTAGATGCTATTTTCGGTGGGTTCGTTCTTTTGCGGCTGAGACTCCTTCCATTTCATGTACTGCCGATATGCTTCTTGAGACGGCCAGTTGTTGGCATCCGACAGGTCAACCTTCTGCTTAGTCGCAACGACGAAGGGAAGCCTCTCCCTCTGGCACTCCGTGATAACAAACTCGAACCGCTGAGCTGAGACTGGGTTGGTGTCGACCACCTGGTAATCATGGTCGGCCACGGCCGCATTGTAGATTTCAGCGCAGCCCTTGGCATCATCGAGCTGAGCCGGGCGCAAGACACAATCGGCAAGGAGCTTTCTTTTATTCGATATAATCACCGTGGCAGGTTTGGTCGTGCTGGTAATGGTTATGTTTTTGTTTGACTGTCGTTCTTGTGTTGGCAGGTTGGAACACTCGCGCTCCCTCTCCTCTTGCTGGCGACGCATCAAGTTCCTTCGGACGGTAATCTCGCGATGGATGACCAAGTTGCTTGTCCAGTCTCGACGACGGTGAAGCATCGCAGGCCTCATTCTTATTTCCTCCTCAATGTCGACGATAGTGTCCGGTTGCTCAACCTTCTCCAAGAGCTGTCCATTTGTCGGGTCAACATCGTAGTTGTGATGATTGTCAACCTCGTCAAGGAAGGAGGTGACGCAGTCCGCAGATAGTGTATCGAGCCAGGTATGAAAGAATGCGGAAGCTGGACCGGAGGGTGCATAGGCTGCCGTCTTGTCGAAGAAATTGCTGAAACGGCTGGAGCCGTACTCGTGGCTAGACGTAACCTCATCATCCACGCTGATATCCATGGATGGGTGGCTCTTCTTGGATTTATCAGCCACACCGTGTCGCTCAGAAAGGTCTCTTAGAGCCATTGGGGTTAAGGGGGTCGATTCCTTGGTGGGTTCGGGAAGTGAGGCACGAGGGTTGGCGTGGCCACCCGTTGATTCCGTGGCAGACTTAGCATAGTAACCTGTGATGATGGGTTGCTCCTGGTTTGGGACCTCAACCTCAATATTGACCTTGGGCTTGATGCTGCGCTTGTGAGGCGGTATGTATTCGGCTACTGAAGCTTGCCGCATGGCCGTAACAGAAGGCATGTCTTCGTTGTTTTGAATGACCTGGCATTTGGCGACAGTGTCGGTTTCCCGCTTCTTTTGGCTCTTCTCGAAGTTCCTCCCGGCCATGTAGGCCCGCTGCCCGGCGAGATACTTGGCGTGTTCTGGAGTTCCAGCACTGGGTTCGTCTTGGATATTGCTATTGCTGTATTTGAAAGCAGCTCGTCGAGTCTCAGGGCTAGAGGTAAGTTTGTCGAAGAGGGCCGAGGCAGAAAGTTTCCGGTCTGGGACTGGAAGATCCTCGGCCCATCGGATCGAGTTAGGCCGCTGGTTGGGTTCGATAGGTCTGGCATCAGATTTTTCAGAGGGTGAAGCCCTGTTTTGGATCTGTTGATTGATGGCCTGGCCCCTCACTGCCTGGCAAGGAGAGGAGACCACAACCCGACCGGAGTCAGTCTGTCGAAGATGCGCATTGTCGAACTCACGAGAATAAGGACTGCCAAATCTAGAGGGGTGTACACCTCCGCTACAATGGTCCCTGCCACGAGCTTGGTAGCTTGCACTCTCATCTATCTGCATCCCAACCCTGTCGAACTCTTCATGGTCCGACATCTTCGACAACAGCTTGTAGTAAGCTTTATCAAAGTGTAGCAAAAGTGATCTATAGCGGAGGAAAAGTCAGTAAAGCCTGGGGAAAAGCAATCCTGTAAATGAACAGTCCATTCACTGACCAATTCTTTGTGGTACTTGAAGGGGGGGAAACGGGCAGCAGGTCATAAGTTTGTGTTGCTTTCGGATCTAAAAGATGTATCAGCTTTGCGTGCCAGAAGGCGCGAAGTGAGTCGCAGTAAATATTGAGCAGGTGCGCACCTGAAGAAGACCGATTTGGAAGATAGCTGCAATATTGTTACAGGAGAATCAGGTTGCTTCTATCTCTCTTGTGGATGCAAATTGGCCACAATAAGAGCAGGCTTTGTTGTGTATGGCTGAAGACTGCGGTGAGGCGGTTCGCGGAGGGATGGAGATCCTAAGTGGGATATTTGAGTGGAAGTCAATACTTACATTCGGACTACTCACTCAAAAGAGGCAAGGGTGAGCATCTGGATGCTTCTCCTTTGCTCCTTCCCTCTTCTTGAGTTCTTCAAGCCGGCCTTCGTTGCC